CCCATGTGCTGCCTATGGGTCTGCTTGAGACCCTCGGGCAGCACCAGGGGCCAGATAGGGCTCTGTGGGCTGGATATGGCCCATGGGCCAGATGTTTGACACCCCTGCTGTAGGAGGGTACAGTAAAAGGGAGGCGCTGAGTGTTACATTGAAGGCTATGCAGCTCCTAGAACAACTTAGCAGGGGGAAGTGTGAAAAAAGGACCTGAGGCCAGCATGTACCTTACTACCTCTGTTTTGTAAGTTTAAGGACCCTGGCAGATGTTCAATGGGATCTGAATCGCAATCCCAGCAATTGCACCTTCTCCCATGCTACACATGTATGGCAGGAGGTGCGACTGTGGTAACAGATTCCAATCACACTATATTGCCAGTGCCCCCTTGGCTGAGAGCACCAGTCAGCTGATCAGGCTCCCAACTATGAGAGCCCATCTGAGCCAAAGGTTCCATGTGCCTCTGGCTGGGAGCCCCTATCAGTTGATTGAGACTCCCAGTCACGGGAACGAAGCTGAACCCACAGGGTGGCCACACGTTTAATTTATGACATGATAGGAATGAGCCGTAAAGTTATGTATTTTTTCTGTAATAACTTTGTAGCTTATTTCCTGTTTTAACATGTGGCTGGGTTACTGTTTAAGAGGTCATTAAGTAGTTAATCATGTCTTAAGTGTAATATCTGCCAGGGGACTAAGGCATAGCACAGGATGTTACCCAAGATGTTCTGCAACTTCTGTGCTAGAGATGTTTGCCCTTTTTACATGGGAAAGGATCAGAGCAAGGGCTCTACTTTGTCAACTTGACTGTTCTAAGACAGCTCTGCAAGCCTTTATAAATACTGTAAGTTCTGTGTTGTTGTCCGATTGCTCTAAAGCAGTGGTTTTCAGCCTTTTTTTATTTGCAGACCCCCAAAAAACTTTGAATAGAGGTGTGGACCCCTATGAATTGTAAGTGTGGGTATTTACATTTTATTAATTGATCATAGTCATCTTTTGTGGACCCCTTAGACATGGTCTGTGGACCCCCAGGGAATCCGGTGACCACAGGCTGAAAACCACTGCTCTAAAGGGGATGATTACATGCATACAAGGGTTACTTCACATAAATACAAAAGAGGACACTGGCTTTCCCTCCCTGACAGCTGTTGGACTTCTCACCTTGATAAAATCACTGACACAAAGACAGTATGTCATGATCATGGTCAACACTCAAGAGACCTGTAGCTGATGACAGTCAGCTAGTGTATCTTTAAAACTAACTTGCAATGCCTACAGTAGGTTCCATGTCACACTGAGACTCGTGCTGGTTAACAGTGTCTTCTCTGAGCCTAGATGTGGTCTAAAACAGTGGCTTTCAACCTCTGGCCAACAGGGCAAATCTGGCCCGGGGCCCCCTATAGGTCTGGAAATTTGGTGGTGGGGGAGTGGTGGGAGCATTAATTGGAAATTGCAGCAATTAATGCTGTTACCACTCTACCACTGCCAAATTTCCAGACTTGTGGGGAACTTTGGGGGCTGGATGACAGCCCCATGCACCAGATTGTGCTAGCGCACGGGGTCATTCCACAGCTGGATCTGGTGCATGGGGCCAGGCTGGTACATTGGGTCATCTGTTGACGTTAATGAGTGGCAAACAGCTCCCAGTGATAACACTTTAAATGTCTCAGTTCATAGATTCATAGATTGTAGAGTCGGAAGGGACCACAATGGATCATCGTGTCTGACCCCCTGCCCCTGGCAGGAAAGAGGACCGAGGTCAGATGACCCCACCCAGGTGACTGTCTAGCCTCTTCTTGAAGACCTCCAAGCTAGGTGATAGCACCACCTCTCCTGGAAGCCCATTCCAGATCCTGGCCACCCTTACTGTGAAAAATTTCTTCCTAATATCTAACCTAAATCCACTCTTAACAGTTTACACCCGTTATTCCTAGTCACTCCCTGAGGCACCTTAGTAAACAGCGCGTCCCCTGTTCCCCATTGACCTCCCCTAATAAATGTATAGGCGGCCACAAGATCTCCCCTCAGCCGTCTCTTGTGAAGGCTGAAGAGATTCAGCTTTCTCAACCTCCTCCCATAGGGTCTATCACAAAGGCAACTGATTATGCGTGTGGCCCTCCTCTGGACCCTCTCCAGATTCTCTGCGTCCCTCTTGAAGTGCAGCGCCCAAAACTGGACACAGTACTCCAACTGTGGCCTGACCAGTGCCACATAGAGGGGGAGCATCACCTCCTTTGATCTGTTAGTCATGCACCTGCTAATGCACGACAAGGTGTGATTGGCCTTGTTGATGACCTCATTACACTGCTGGCTCATGTTCATCTTGGAGTCAATTATGACTCCAAAATCCCTCTATGCCTCCGAGCTGCTTAGAAGGACACTCCCAAACCTATAGGTGTGCTGGGGATTCCTCCTTCCCAGGTGGAGTACCTTACATTTATCTTTATTAAATTGCATCCTATTTCTCTCTGCCCATTGATCCAACCTGTCTGGGTTGGCCTGAATCTGCTCCCTGCCTTGTGGTGTACTAACTTTGCCCCATAACTTGGTATCATCAGCGAACTTGGAGAGGGTGCTCTCCACGCCCTCGTCCAAATTGCTGATGAAGATATTAAATAATATCGATCCAAGGACTGAACCCTGCGGGACCCCACTGCCCACCTCCCTCCAGGCCGAGAAGGAACCATCCACCACCACTCTCTGGGTGCGGTCCCTAAGCCAGTTGGCCACCCACCTGACCATGTAGGCGTCCACTCCACAGTGTGCTAGCTTCCCAATGAGGATGGGGTGCGAAACTCTGTCGAAGGCCTTCCTACAGTCCAGGAAGATGACATCAGCCTCGGCTCCCGTGTCCAGGCAGTGTGTGACCTGGCTACAAGGTCTATCTTCTTCAAGTGGGCAGAAATTTTAATAACAAACTGCTATGGGCAGGGGCCCTCTATCCTTGTTCTCAAGGTAACGTTAGATTTTTAATTCCTTTTGGCTAATTGAATAGTGTTTCCCCCATCACTCCCTACATCTCTTCTGGTATGAACCCACTGAAAAGAGTAGGGTCACTGAAGCCAGTGCAGTCTTTTGCATGAGATTCTTTTCAATGTAGTATTTGTAATTTTCCTCAACATTCCCACCCTAGTTTGTCAGTGATACTTTTCTTTCATTGACGCTGATGATAACGATAGTTTCTTTATAAGGTCATTTAATATTGTCACCTAACTCCTGCGGCCCAAGCACTCTGCTGGTGCCAGTTGGCTTTGTGAAGCTCACTGAAATTACACCAGCTGAGCAGACAGCCCATAAACTGCCCAGGACAAGGAATATTTCCTAGATTGCTTTTCCTTTAGATGTTAAAGAGAACTGTGTGCTCAAGTAGGGATCCACCTTAAGCTAAATGCTCTCCCCTCCTGGTTATAGTCCTTTATAATTCTGCATAGTTAGTTGAAAAGGGAGGATAAAATATAAGGTAATAAACCATTTCTCAGAGCTACAGTATCATCTAAGAAGACATATGACAGGTGCTTAAAAAACATTAAAAATGAGAACACAGTGTACACTTATTACAGAAGGAAGCACTATGAAAATAGCTTCTTATAAAAAACCACCTACACTAGCCTTTATGCAGAAGTAAACTGCAGAACAGCATGAAATGATTCAGTCTCTGCCCTACCCTCAAATTTTGCTTGTGACTATCTACACAAATGTTTTGCATGCTCTGAAAATCACCCTGAGACCAGGTTCCCTCAGCTGACCTGCACTTTTTTCAGTAAGATTTGCTTCTGCTTTTGGGACTCTTCATTTTTTCTGAGGGCAGAGTGGTCTATCCTTGAGTTGTTTCTCATGATCATGAGATTCTCATTTCATAATGCTTAGAAACTAATGAGGAGTGGGGAGTGGTCCCACTGTCTAGTAACACCTGAGTTTTTGTTGCATCCTGCATTTGTGCTGGTGCGTGGTGCTTAAACTTCTGAGCATGTGTCTCATGGCTCTTGGTACAGATGTGAACTGGAGTGCTCATACAAGGAAATCACTTAGGACTGGGCAACATCCAGGTTTCAGGCCTCAGCCTTCCTTCTAACCAGCAACAAGGCCCAGATCCCAATCTAAGCAGTGACCTAGGCCAGATGCTGATGTTATTACATGCATCTGCTATTTTGGAAAGAGGAGGCTGACAAAGGGCATGAGGCATATGGAGGGCATTTCATCATTGGATGGTCACCATTAAAAAGTGGCATCAGACTGTGGTAAGAAATGCAGTTATATTAATGATTACAAAATCTTGCAGTGTTGACTAGTGTTTCCGGAAATCACAGAATGGGTAGAGCTGTGTCATCCTGCTGACCTGGGCTGACTTCAGAACAGCATCTTCAGAACAGGTAGATTGCACTCAGCCTTTTCTTTCCAAAATAGCATATGCATCCAGCCATGGGGAGGGTGCACAGCCCAACCCCAATCCATCTACTAGGCTGCTCCCTGGTCCCCAGACATGTCTGAATCAGGGCCACTCTGCCCCACTGGCCCCAACCCAGGCATCCAGATTGGGTTTACTCTTCCCTGCCCCACCCTGCCCCTCCCTGTTGTGTGTCCAGATAGGGACTGCACTGCCCTGTTCCCCCAACCTGCATAACTGAATCCTCCCACAAGTGTCCAGATAGGGACAACCTGCTCCTTGCTTGCACCACAGTGGATGGATTGGGGTTGGGCTGTGTACCCATCTCATGGCCAGATGGGGCCCTGCCATGGTGGCCCTACATGCCAGATTGAACCCACCAGCCAGATCTGGCCCACAGCTGGACTTGGTGCTGTCAATCTGGCCTGTAGAGTGAAAAGGTTGGATACCACTGCCATAGAAAATTTCATGGTTGCCATATGCTGTATGGGTTTCACTTGTTGTTTCCTGAAGCAGGGGGTGTTGGTCCTCTACCGGAAGAGATAGCACAGATATGCCAGATCCATTGGCTGGTTTGGAATGGGCTGTATGCCTGCATAACCCTCTATAACTATTACCTTCCAGGTAGTGCTCGGCTTCGTTTCCTGGTCCTGGTAACAGGATGTACATCAGTGGGAAAAATCCTGGATGCCGAAGTATACAAAATCACTGGAACAGATTTCTGTCCTCTCCAGGAAGAAACCAAGGAAGAGGATCGTGTTACTGCCTTGAAAAAAATCTTGAACTCTGGGATGTTTTATTTCTCCTTGCCAAATTCAGACTCAGACTTTGACCTGACTGTCCGGGCCCAGAAGCAGGGTGATAACAGCTATGAATCTGGTAACTCCTTCTTCTGGTTAGTACTGCACATTATATCAAAGTTTTTAGCTAACTTCACCTCTACCTCAATCATCTCAAACTCACTGGAGATGAGTATAACTATGGATTTTAGCATAGTCACTTTTTGCTTAACTAACATTTTATTTTCTAGGGCATGTGCCATGGCAGATTTGTGTTAAATCAGGAACAAACAGAAAACATCTGTGTAATGTAATTAACATAATCTGCCTGAAAAAACAGTCTTAGTAATTGGAGTTTCTGGTTTTCTAGGAAGAAAAAAATATTTGCTATATTTACTGTCCACGGTACAAATATACATTTTTTTGCATGTAATCAGTGGTTTGCTCTGGTTAGTTTTCATTATTTATTTTTAAACCACACTGAACATGGTAGAATTTTGTATTTGTCTACTCTCACAAAGCCTTAGCTGCATTCTATTATATATCCTAGTGCTTGAAAGTTTAAATTCTTTAATATTGCAAAATGTGCCCTAACTGTTTACACTGAATGCATCTATGGTAATCAATATATTTACAGCTCATGATAAGTAAATCTTCGTGTATATGCTAACTCCTGTAATATGTAGCCCTGCACTTGTTTTATTATACTGTACTTGGCATTTGTAAAACAAATGCAAAACTTCCAAGCTGGGATGAATGGAAAAGATACGTCCTTCCTGCACGGGCCCACTTTAAAGAAAAAGGAGTTTACTTTGTTTGCTCTTACCACTTATGATAGATACTACAATCTCCATTCTTTTTTAACGAATAGACAATTACGCAGGAAACAAAAATGAACTGGAAATAAAAGTTATATAACACTTGTGGAAAATAATAGTTTGGCACACATACATCTGCATGTGCTGGTACAGTGTTAGAGACTTCTTGTGTCCCACAGTAGGTAAATATTAATAGCCAGGCAGGGTCATAATAGATGAGTAATAAGGGAGAGCAATTCAATTTGGTAAGTAATCTCTCTAGCTGGGATGTGATTTCACCTGATAAGATCTGGTGTTTAAGTCAGAAGATGGGAATATAAAACCCAGTTTCACCTGCATTAATGTATGCCTTCCTCTTAGGGAAAAGTGCATGTGACACTTAGAGTAAATGAATTCTGATCCAGCAGGATACAAGAGCTAAGATGGAGGCCTATTTTTAATATAGAAACAGTATGATATGAATGGTTGTTTAAAGGCTGTTTTCTGGTTTTCTGAGAGGAAAACTGTATTTAAAACTCAATGATTCATTTGCTCTCTGGATCAGTTTACTGCTGCTTGTTAGTCCATTGATGTAGAAGCCTTTTTTTTTTTTTTTTTTTTGCTAAGGTGAATGGATGAAACATCCTTCCTGTATAATGAAAATTTCCCAAAATATTCAGTCTGAGTCAGACAACTGGCATTGATCATTTCAGCTCCACTGGTTAAAGTTAGGAAAAATTAAAAGCAATAAAAAGGAGAGGGTGGGGAAGTTATTTGAAAGTGTCAGGCAGCCTTCATTTTAGACACTGGCTATAATGTGTACTGAAACAAAGAATGCCTAATAGAGTTTGCCTTGCTGGGAGGATTCCCCTTTTGGGTAGAGGTAGTAGAGAAATGCAGTGCTTTTGTAGTTGTATTTAGCTATATTTTTATTAACAATAGGTAAACAAGCCTTTAGTTTTTCAGAGAAATGCTGTACTCTCTGAAGAGCAAATTGGTGTTGGGATTCCATTGGTATAGTCGTCCTACTACTGGGGTTTTAGGGAACTGCCAGTGACACTGATGGAGAGGCGAGGTGTGCCTCAGAGCTACAGTCTCCGACTAGGTCGTATTTAGGTGAAGTTGACTAAAACAAAACGAGCCATAAAAAGAAAATAGCACCTTTATAAACCAGGTCAGATGTGTTGTCCGAATTGTGGATTTTAAAATAAGTCAGATTCCCTTTGTTCGGACAGAACTTTGTCATGTTTCTGGTCCAGTGCTTGGGAAATGTCCTCCAAAATTCCAGTAGGTTTCGTTGGAGTTCTTGAATAGGCCAGTCTGTAAGCAGCCCTGCTTGAAAGTGTTAGTTTGCAGTGTACTTCAGGAAAGAGTCTGTTAAAGATCGGCATGTTTCTCAAGATCAGAAAAATAGGAAAAAGGGAATTTGTATTTGGAGGTGGATGAGGAGGGTCCCAGTCTTCCAGGCACATGAGCAACAGTATGGTCACACTATTAAAACCAGCCAGCTTCTACAAATTCTGGCCATCACATAAATTGTCAGTTAGTTATTTTTCTGGTTAAGTTGAGGTGAAATAAATAAATAAATAATGTCATCACATCGCATCACATGCTTTTATTAGTAAAAGACATCCGTCTTGCATGCTTATTGAGTAATGCATCTACACACTGTTGAATTTTACAGGAACCAGCTACTACATGTGCCCTTTAAACACTACCAGGTGAACTGCTCAGACTGGCTACTGAAAGTGATCTGTGGTGTTGTGGACATCCGTACTGTTTATGCCTCTCACAAGAAGGCCAAAGCCTGCCTCATTTCCCGGATCAGCTGTGAGCGAGCGGGTGCCAGGTTTCACATACGAGGGGTCAATGATGATGGACACGTGTCTAACTTTGTTGAGACAGAGCAGGTAAATGGCTGAATGGATCCCATGGCCTTAAATAATTCAGTATGTTTGTGCATAAGTGGAGCATCTCGTACACCAAGAACTTGAGAAAGTCGGCAAGTATAGACAGTTTTATGCATAAAGTGTCTCTTCATTCTTTCCCATGGAACATTTCTTCACAGTCTGTTCTCTTTCTGGGCTTCTAGCTTCTTGGCACATGCACTTTGATTTATTCCCCAGTGTGAAATTCTTGGCTCTAATGTGACATCAGAATATAAATGTATATTTTTAAATGGGCTCAGAAATTCCTGTGTCTAGAGCACACTTGACTCATGAACTCAACACACAAACTACCAGGTTCTCAATATTTATTGAAACTGATCAACCAAGAGGTCAGTGTGTTATAAAAAGAAAAAAATATTTGAGAGTAAATTTCAGTCTCATTTGAAAGTACTTCTAAAAAACCACACCTTTTCTAGCCTATAGAAGATGATACAAAAGTGGGTTTGTCAACGAGCTTTCCTAGCATTCACACAGTTTTCACCATCAGTAATGTGCTGTAACCTGTATCTTATCAGTTCCCCAAATTAAATAAATGATTTCAGAAAAAAAAAAAAATGCTGGTTTAATTCTGTTTATATTATCACCTTTGCTGGTTAAAAAAAAGCACTGGAGCTCAACAACCTGATATCTCCAATGGCAGATGAAATAAACACTTTTTACTCAGGTGTTCTTTCTGAGTAGGAAGCCAAGAAAGCAGCAACATTAGGGTTCTAAAGTAAGTGCATCTGTAAGGAAGAACACAAATAATTGAATAGGCAGTAGGGCTGTGTGAAGCTTCAGTCCCTGATCTGATTCTAGCGGAGATTTGGCATTAGTGAAAGAGCACTGTTTTTTGTGACACTAATAGGCTAATGCGCATTAAAGTGCAAGTGTAGGCATGCCCCCTTAGTCCAACATTTAGGTACCACAGGCATTCACAGAATCCCTTCTTAGCTGATCCTAGACCCTGTAAATGTCAATGTTTCCATTGTTTGAGCTCCCTATTTTTCTGCTGAGGGCTTTCACAGAACCACCTTAGTCTTGACACTGCCAAGATGTTCAGGGCCTAGCTCAGTCTTAAGACCCAGAGGATTAAAAAAACAACTGGTCCCTTACAGGGTGTAGGCAAGTCATTATGCTCAAAGCATAAAATAGCAAAAAGGGAAAGCCCTTTTTATATGCAGTAGCCTACTGGTTACAACACTCAGCTGGGATATGGCGGACCAGTCTCCCACCTCTCCAGCAAGTTTCCTAACCCCTGGTCTATAGGGTTTCTGAGGACAGGCTCTCCCTGCTTTCCCTATGGGGCAAGACACCTAAAATTTGAGATTTGAAAGACCTAAGTTCCCCAGGTGAACCTAGGCTCTAGTGTATTGGAAAATAATTGTGTTTGGCTGCAGATTTGTGAGGAAAGCAAAAGTGGGGAGAGATGGCTGAAATGTGTGCCTTCTAAAGCCATACATCCTAAACAGTGGGTATCTCTACAATCTGGGAGCAGTTTACTCTTGAGTAAACTACTCAAGAATAAACTCTTCCAGGCACATGTCTACACATGCAGGGACATGGGAGTAGAATTGCTACTCCTAGCAGACTGCTCCCAGCCCTGCAGCAGCCAGCAGGAGCTCTAGGCTCTCACTGGGTGCTAGCCCAGGGGTCAGGAGACAGCTGTCCCCTGGCGGGGGCAAGGACATTGCTCCCTGCCCATAGGAGCTGCCTGCTGCCATGGCGGGCTCTGCCACCAGAGCCCAGGCAGGGACAATGTCCCCCTACCCTAGCAGTAGGGAGCTCCCAGCTCACACTCCATGATCATAGGACCAGGGCTAAGAGCTTCTTATATCCCAGCTCAATCCCTGCAGTCACGGGGCTGATGCTGGGAGATAAGCATCTCCCAGAGCCAGCCCCATGACCACAGAGCTGGTGCTGGGAGAGAAGGATCTCCCAGCACTGGCCCTGCAACCATGGAACTGGTGCTGGGAGATAAGGATCTCGCAACTCGGGTCCTGCAACTTCAGGACTCAGGCTGGGAGATAAAGGTGTCCCAGCCCAGGTTCCATGACCACAAGGCTCAGGCTGGGAGATAAGGACGCCCTGGCCCCATGACTGCAGGACCTGGACTGGGAGATAAGGTTCTCCCAGCCCCAGCCCCATGACTGTGGAGCTGGCACTGGGAGATAAGGATCTTAGCTCGGGTCCCATGACCACAGGGCTCAGGCTGGGAGATGAGGACTGCCCAGTACCGGCCCTGCAACTGTGGAGCTGGCACTGGGAGATAAAGACCTCCCAGTCTCGGTCCTATGATTACAGATCTCCCAATCTGGGTCCATGACCATGGAGCTGGCACTGGGAGACATGGATTACATAGCTGGGGCTGGTAGCTCTCTGCTGCTGGGGCTGGGGGACATTGTTCTCACCCAGGCTTGGGTGGCAGAGCCTGCCCCAACAGCAGGCAGTGCCTGGGGGCAGGGAGCAATCTCCCACCCCCTGCTGCCCGGCTGACCGGGAGCACATTTACTGCTGGTCAGGCGTCTACATGTGCATGACTGCGCAGTTACTAATCACAAGTAAATTTGCTACTTGTATTTGCAGGTAGCAAATTTACTTGCAATTAGATCCAATTACTGCACAGTAATTATCTCTACCGCGTAGTAAAGCGTCTCATGTAGACGTGCCTAGCGGTGGATAACTTTTTTGGCCAGAGTGTCACAAAGTAAGCCCTAACCCTTCCGCAAATGCCACTCTGATCCCTTTCTCTTGCCAGATCCATTGCTCTTCTATCTTCCCTACCCAATCTGTTGCTCTGCTATCTCCTCCTTGCCTTATTTCCATTGTTTACCCTTGTTCCTTGATCTGTTGCGTGGAAACATAGTGGTTGCACGTGCCACTTGTGTATGTGTGCCACAGGTTGGTCACCCCTTCCTACAAGACTGCACCACATTAACTGCAGCACTTTCTCCAATCTCATTAGAGTTATCAGGAGAAAGGGTGACTCAGTGGTAAAAGAATTTGCTGGGAGCCTGGCAAACACAGGTTCCATTCCCTGTCCTGCTACTGACACTTTGGGTGACTTTGAGCAACTCAGTTTCCTTCTGTGGGGCCCAAGGAGAAAGTGTGGAATCCAAGTGGAGGATGATGAAACTCTAGAAGTTGTATCAGATTACTTGTGCTCTGCAACTCTTCTAATGCCACTGATACCATTGCTTCATGTCACTTGTACAAATGAATGAATGACCAAAATTACTGGGAGGGGAGTGAACTTTTGTCTTTGTAGGGTAGGACTGGAAGGGCCTTGCCATTATAAAGAAAAAGGAGATACTGAGATGGGTTGTCAATTTTCAAATTTGTGATACCACTTCCCAGCAGCACAGTTGCCAGTCTACTATGAATCATAGAAAATTAAAGTTGGAAAGGACCTCGGGCGGTCATCTAGTCCAACTCCCACTATTTCTTGGTATTCCAGCCATTTCTGTCAGAGATGACTTAGCTTATTTGGTTATGCTCTTCCAACATACTGTCCTGGAAATGATTCTCACACACATATAATGCTGATTTATCTCATGGCAAAAATAAATAAATAAATTTAAGTTCCTGATGGAACAGCAAAATGCTGATAGGTGACTGATGGTTGAAATGGATGGGATGTGTCTGGAGCTGCATGTTGTTCAAAGGATCTGTCACGCTTCCATTCCAGTTCAGCCACTAGTCATCTAGGAGCTGAAGGAGAAAAGGAACTGAAAACTAGAAAAGCAAAAGCCCCCAAAGCTTTTGGAAATGAGTACAGGGTTGAAGTGTCAATAAGTTTTTAAGATTTGAATAAGCTGATAACTAGTGTAGCACTTGTTTTTAAAAAAAAGAAAAAAGCTCTTATCATGAATGATAATGTACATAATTTTTGCCAGATTGACTGTCCTAAGAAAATAAAATTGGGCTAACAGGATGCCTGATTTGAAGCAACTGCAGGTGCTTCCTCAGCCCAACGAAGGGTATTTGTACCCGAAACTTGCAAAAGAGAAATTTTCCAACTATTTGAGTTGGTCTAAAAAAAGATCAGATTTACCCAAAGAACCTTGTCTGATTTGAAGCTGGCATCCACTTGTACTTAGGAAGCAAAAGCCCTAGAGTAAACTCTCCTGCTTTCATAGCAGGCTACTGACTAATCGGCTGTGAGGTAATATCTTGGCTGAATAACATTTTGTTTCCATTTGCAACAGTTTGTACAGTATAATGGCATGCTGGCTTTGTGCTTTCCTGAATAAATAGCACCCTAGGATTCCAAAAAGGCAGGACTTTTCTCCCCTTTACAGTGAATTAGTTCTAACATTTTTCTGTTTTAAGAAGAGGAAGAAACAATTAGTTTTATCTCCAGGCAGCTGTTTCATGCATAGATGGTATTCTTTTGTCTCCCACTGAGTTAGCCTTGTGGCATTTCAGCTCTGCAATGAGTCATTTTTTGTGGGCTCACTTAACTGCTGTGACTCACTGCGCAGAAGGAGCAGGAGGGAGGAAAGCTAAGTATCTTGCTTGAGTTTTGCTTTTCAAAACCAAGCCGCCAGTCAGTCTTTTAGTTGTGCGATCATTGAGTTTGCTTTTTACAAGAAAGGTAAAAAACAGTAGGAAAGGTTTAAGCGTCAGAAGCGAAGAGAGAAGGTGACCCTTCCTGAAAAAACCCTCTGGACATGTGTACATGGAATATTATTCCAGCATGTTGCAAAGGGAAGGGCACTCCTTCCTACTTACAGCGCTACCCATCATCTTTGGCAAAGGTTTTATATTATGCTTTGTTCCCCAGAGGGAGCCTAATTCATACATTTTTGCTTTGTTCACAGTATTTCATATATTAAGGGGAAAAAGTAAAACATTGTTTGGGGGATCTCTAAAGAGAACAAAAGTTAACTTTATCCGGCCTTTCTCCCCCTGCCTTGTAGCTGGAACTCCCCCACATTCCTTTAATTCTTTTTTCCAGATAGCAATGAGAAGCAAGCATG